CTGCCGATCCGTCGCCACCTCATCTATATCCCTTCACCTAGGAATAGATATAGCGGAAGACGCACCTGGGTGGTCGAGCGCGTCGAGCAGGTCGCGGTACTTGTCCGGCAGCAGCAGGTCGTGCAGGCTGACCTCGCTGGCGCTCTCCATCTGCGCCTGCACCTGCGCGCGCACCCGCGGCTTCAGGTACGCCGGCTGCACCCACTCGCTCAGCGGCAGCAGCTCCGAGTGCGGCGGCACGGGCGCTCCCGGGACGGGGGCTGGAAGCGCGGGGGAGGGGGAGGGGGAGGGGGAGGCGCGCGTGGGCGAGGGCGCGGGACCGTGGAACCAGCCGTTGATGGAAAGCCGTGGCAGCTCCAGCGACAGGACCTCCGCCACCTGCCACCGCGCACACATACATCTCCCTCCGCACGCTTACGGAACAAATACCTCCTTCTGTTAAAGGAAGACTTTTGTGAAAAGATCTGCTCAAAATTTGGGACGTAGGTCCGATCTTAAATGTCATTATCATCAGCTCACTATACGTTCCCACCGAGGGGCTCGGAGCCCACCCTGAGTAAAGGGTGATTAGGCCATAGTCAACCACGCTGGCCCAGTGCGGGTTGGTTGACTTCACACATATCTTTGAATTTCTTCTCAGATATGTGCAGGTTGCATCACGATGTTTTCCTTCACCGTAAGAACGTCGGATAAATGTACATATGTAAATCGGAAATCGAAAAACACATTGGTACATGGCGGAATTCGAACCCAGGACCTGCAGATTGCAAGTCAAGTGCTTGACCACTGAGCCACCGACGCTCCTCGCTCTTAAATGTATTAGCAATTATTATTAAGAATTATAGTACAGTATAAGATGCACTTACCTGGTGGAAGGAGTCGTGTCCGACCTTGAAGAAGGCCAGCATGTTGTTGCGTGGAAAGACGCGGCGCACGACGCGGCCCGCGCGCCCCTCCGCGTCCCGCGACAGCAGCTCCAGCGCCCCGCCCATGCGCTCCGACCACCCGCGCATCTGCAGCCCCGCCTCCTGCACCACCGCCTCCCTCTCCTCCTCCGACACCACCTTCCTCACCTCCTCCGTCACCTTCTCAGACACCTCCTCCGACACCTCCTCCGACACCTCCTCTCTCACCTTCGGCGCCGACTACACACCACATCACACTCGTATTAAATAAATGTCATGCTGTAGTTCCTATGTATTTAATAATTGTTAAGAAGAAAATATTTTGATACCTTCTTGTCACCATTGGTGAGGTAGATGCCGTCACGGGGTGCGGGGGGTGGCGCGGGGGGTTCGTGCGGCGCCAGGTAGAGGATGAAAG